GCACTGTGTCCTGCACTTGGTGGTGTGCCCCACCTCTCCGTCTTTCTGGAGTCCCTTCTGTCTCCTCTGTGAACACTTCTTTGAATCTCTTGTTGAGTTCTTCACATACTTCACGGTCATTTCTTGTTGTCTCTCCTCCTTCCTTCCTTAGCCTGATTACCTGGTCCTTGACTGTTGTTTTCCTCCTGATGTGGCTGTACAACAGTTTCGGGTCAGATCTGACTTTCGCTGCTATGTCATTTTCATATTGTCTTTGGGCCTCCCTTCTTATCTGTGCATATTCGGTTCTGGCTCTACGACTGTTCTCCTTATTCTCCTGGGTCCTTTGCCTTCTATATTTCTTCCATTCCCTAGCACACTTGGTTTTTGCCTCCCTGCACCTTTGGGTAAACCATGGGCTCATCCTGGCTTTTTCATTATTCCTGTTACCCTTGGGTACAAACCTCTCCTCAGCCTCCTTGCATTTTGTTGCTACATATTCCATCATCTCATTAACTGGCTTCCCTGCCAGTTCTCTGTCCCACTGAACCCCGTTCAGGTAGTTCCTCATTCCTGTGTAGTCCCCTTTCTTGTAGTTTGGCTTCATTCGTCCTGGCCTTCCTGCTTCTCCCTCCACTTGTAGCTCTACTGTGTATTCGAAGCTTAAAACCACATGGTCACTGGCCCCAAGGGGTCTTTCATATGTGATGTCCTCGATATCTGTACTACTCAAGGTGAATACTAAGTCCAGCCTTGCTGGTTCATCCTCTCCTCTCTCTCTTGTAGTGTCCCTTACGTGTTGGCACATGAAGTTTTCCAGTACCACCTCCATCATCTTAGCCCTCCATGTATCTTGGCCCCCATGTGGGTCCAAGTTCTCCGAATCGATCTCCTTTTGGTTAAAGTCACCCATGATCAGGAGCTTTGCCCTGCATGCATGAGCTCTTCTGGCCACTCTAGCCAGTGTGTCAACCATCGCTCTATTGCTCTCGTCGTACTCTTGCCTTGGCCTCCTGCTGTTCTGTGGTGGGTTATACATCACTGCTATTACCACCTTGGGACCTCCAGAGTGAAGTGTTCCCGCTATGTAATCAGTTTCTTCTCCACTGTCTCCTCTCTCCAGCTCATCAAAATTCCAGCGATTTTTGATCAGCAACGCCACTCCTCCACCCCCCTGTTCCCTCTGTCTTTCCTCAGGATTTGGTATCCCGTTGGAAAGATGGCATCTGTTATCATACCTGTAAGCTTGGTTTCTGTGAGAGCTATGATGTCCGGTGATGCTTCTTTGACTCTTTCATGCCACTCCTCCCACTTATTTGTTATTCCATCAGCGTTTGTGTACTATACCTTCAGTTTCCTTTCCAACACCGTGGTTTGGGGGGCCTGTGAGGGTGGGAGACCTGGTGGCATACTGTGGGATTCTATAGCTCGGTGTTGGGTGGAGGCTGTGGGTATGGATTGTAGTGTGTGTTGGGATGGTGTGATAGGTTGTATGGTTCTGAGAATAGTTGTGTGTGTGCTTGCCCTTGCTGTTCTGTTCTGCTCTGACTGACCTCTGCTGGTTCCATCCTTGTCTCTTTTCCTAGCTCCTTTCGCCTTTTTCTCCTCTCCCTCAGCTGCTGTCGTTCTGCTGTGTGTGTGCGTGTGTGTTGCGTGTGTGTGTGTTATGTGTGTGTGTTATGTGTGTGTGTTATGTGTGTGTGTGTGTGTGAGTGATGTGTGTGTGTGTGTGTGTGTGTGTGGGTGGGTGTGGGTGGGTGTGTGTGGGTGTGTGTGGGTGTGTGTGGGTGTGTGTGGGTGTGCGTGCGCACACTAGGCTACGCTACTCTTTTGAAGATTATAAAAAAATTTTTCACAATCAATTCCTTATTAATATACACTAATATATACTATATAATATTAATTGTGTACACTTGTGTTTGTGTGTACACTTGTGTTTGTGTGTGTGTGTGTTTACTAGCTTGTCGTTCTTTGAAAAAGAGGGGGGGGGGTTACGTTAACACTATTTGTTATTGTTGTTGGTTCACCGGTACTCTCCCGTCCCAGATCTTCGTTGTTCTTGGTTCACCGGTACTCTCCCGGCCCAGATCTTCGTTGTTCTTGGTTCACCGGTACTTTCCCGGCCCAGATCTTCGTTGTTCTTGGTTCACCGGTACTCTCCCGGCCCAGATCTTCGTTGTTCTTGGTTCACCGGTACTCTCCCGGCCCAGATCTTCGTTGTTCTTGGTTCACCGGTACTCTCCCGGCCCAGATCTTCGTTGTTGTTGGTTCACCGGTACTCTCCCGGCCCAGATCTTCGTTGTTCTTGGTTCACCGGTACTCTCCCGGCCCAGATCTTCGTTGTTCTTGGTTCACCGGTACTCTCCCGGCCCAGATCTTCGTTGTTCTTGGTTCACCGGTACTCTCCCGGCCCAGATCTTCGTTGTTCTTGGTTCACCGGTACTCTCCCGGCCCAGATCTTCGTTGTTCTTGGTTCACCGGTACTCTCCCGGCCCAGATCTCCGCACACTAGGCTACTTTACTTTTTGAAGATTATAGGATTATTTTTTCTCACTCAATTCCTTATTAATATATACTAATGTTTATTATAATAATAATTACGGGTGCACACGTGTGTTTGTATGTGCGTACTTGTTTACTGGCGCACACGTGTGTTTGTATGTGCGTACTTGTTTAGTACCTTGTCGCTGTCAGAGGGGGGGGGTTAACTAGGCTACACAACTCTTCTGGAGTTCACCTGGAGATATTTAGATAATTTACTAAATATTATCAGGGTTACCACTATCTATTTCCTGGTACTGAAATAGGGAGAGAGTGATGGTATAGCATACAACCAGCAGGGCGAGACACTGAGACTTTAGACACTAACCAAAATTAACCACAAATAGGCAAGTGATGTTGTCTGCACAACAATGGAGGTTCCTGATGAAAGGTTTGAAAAACCGACAAGTTGAAGATTGAGACACTTATGCAGCATATGGGAATCTTTATTCAGGAAACGTTTCGCCACACAGTGGCTTCATCAGTCCAATACAAAGAGGAAGGCGTAAGGAGAGGAGGAGTATGAGGTAATCAGTCCCTCAGCCTGGAGTCGATGTGTTCAGTCCATCAATCTTGTAGAATGTACAGCATAGGGCCGTAGACGTGGCTTATATACTGTAGTGAGGTGACTTGAAGCAGACGGAGGCGGGATCATAGTGGTACCATCCACTAGTCGAAGTAGGTCTTTGTCCAAAGGTTGAACAAGCGTTGAAGAATTCTTTGTAAGAAGATCCCATGATGCTGCAGTGTCTGACAGTTGTGATGAATGGTTTGAAAAACCGACAAGTTGAAGATTGAGACACTTATGCAGCATATGGGAATCTTTATTCAGGAAACGTTTCGCCACACAGTGGCTTCATCAGTCCAATACAAAGAGGAAGGCGTAAGGAGAGGAGGAGTATGAGGTAATCAGTCCCTCAGCCTGGAGTCGATGTGTTCAGTCCATCAATCTTGTAGAATGTACAGCATAGGGCCGTAGACGTGGCTTATATACTGTAGTGAGGTGACTTGAAGCAGACGGAGGCGGGATCATAGTGGTACCATCCACTAGTCGAAGTAGGTCTTTGTCCAAAAGGTTGAACAAGCGTTGAAGAATTCTTTGTAAGAAGATCCCATGATGCTGCAGTGTCTGACAGTTGTGATGAATGGTTTGAAAACCGACAAGTTGAAGATTGAGACACTTATGCAGCATATGGGAATCTTTATTCAGGAAACGTTTCGCCACACAGTGGCTTCATCAGTCCAATACAAAGAGGAAGGCGTAAGGAGAGGAGGAGTATGAGGTAATCAGTCCCTCAGCCTGGAGTCGATGTGTTCAGTCCATCAATCTTGTAGAATGTACAGCATAGGGCCGTAGACGTGGCTTATATACTGTAGTGAGGTGACTTGAAGCAGACGGAGGCGGGATCATAGTGGTACCATCCACTAGTCGAAGTAGGTCTTTGTCCAAAGGTTGAACAAGCGTTGAAGAATTCTTTGTAAGAAGATCCCATGATGCTGCAGTGTCTGACAGTTGTGATGAATGGTTTGAAAAACCGACAAGTTGAAGATTGAGACACTTATGCAGCATATGGGAATCTTTATTCAGGAAACGTTTCGCCACACAGTGGCTTCATCAGTCCAATACAAAGAGGAAGGCGTAAGGAGAGGAGGAGTATGAGGTAATCAGTCCCTCAGCCTGGAGTCGATGTGTTCAGTCCATCAATCTTGTAGAATGTACAGCATAGGGCCGTAGACGTGGCTTATATACTGTAGTGAGGTGACTTGAAGCAGACGGAGGCGGGATCATAGTGATACCAGAGGATATAATCTGACTGACGTGTTCTTATCAAGAAGGAATCGATAATCATTAATTTTGAGATTAATGATGAGCTTTGAAAGCGATCACAAATCACTCAGTTTCAATATACATGGAATTACCTTAACAAAAACCAAGTCAGTGTCCCTGAGTTTCGCCTGGCCGATTTCATAGGACTCAGGAATTATCTGGGCGGAGTGACCTGTTGTAACATGACAGGTCATTATCCTGTGGGGAAGATAGGTGGTGAAGGTTGCCAGTATGATCATTTTCCCAACATAGTTCAAGCTGCCCAGACAATTCTTTTTTTGAAATAAGGACGATAGATAAAACAAAAATGGCCCTAAATGGATAATCAGGCGAATCAAAAGATGAGAGAGGAACTTACGAAATGAATATATTCAGTTATAAAAAAGGAATAAAAAAAGCCAAAAGAGAGTGTGTAGTTAAAGTGGCCTGGGATCCGAGGTTCATAGAGGTAACATTAGGAATAAGATGGGAAGATATAAGAGATATTTCAGAAATAAAACATTGTACAGGTCAGGACGACAATAAGTGATGCACCCTCACAGGTCTCGAGTGATAAGCTGCTCAGACAAATACATGATTTAAAACCAAACAAATAATCGAACTCTAATAATAATAATAACAATAATATAACAAATTCCTCTCTATAACTTACCCAATGTTTCTTCCTCATTAATAATTGATTTATTCTTGTTTTTATTTTGCTTCTTCTCCTTGATGGTGGTGTTGGACATGTGGTGGAGAATTTTGAGACAAGCATCAGACTCCTTGGCAGGTCCCAGAAGTTTGTACATGATGTCACTGTGTAGCCAGGGACGAAAAATGCGATACTGGATGTACCCGGACATCCTGCTCGAGTACATTAAAATTATATGAAATTTAAATTTTTCGTACCAGATTTAGCACCTCTATATACACATCCTCAATGAGGAAAATATTTGTATTAAAATCTTATATAAAATTAATCTTTTTATCCCAAAACGTAACTTTTTACTTACATTGTTGTTGATAGAAGCTTTCAAGAAGGTGTTTGGCTATAATAATTCTCTAATATAACATAAATATTTAAAAAAAATGTTTGTTCATCAAACTAATATGATTATTTTAACTGAAATAATAATGATTATTAATGTTTTCATTTTGTTATTAGTATTATCATTATTTTTATTTATTATCATTACACTTATCATTTTATTACTGATAAATAGTCATATTTCAAAGTCAAATTCTAATATACTTTACCACCTCTAATATGATCTCCACGACTGTCAATTAAAACCCACGAAGTGATTTACTACTAGGTGTAATATGTAGATGTATTTCGGTCATTTAGTGATCCGAGAAAGTTATCGCAGTTTTGTATAGTTCCAGTTCCCTGTACATCAATGAAAAGTTTAGTGACGAGTGCGGCTAAAATTTCAAATGCAGTTACACATTACATTTGGACATTTTAAGAGAATCAGATTTGTTATTTCCATTAGTTTATGGGTTTATTGTCTGGTTGGAATTTGTTTTATACTCCTATAAAGTTTTAATTTCCTCACGTTCATCGACACCATGCCCAGCCCTTCTAGGGTAGGGTAGGTGCCTGAGCCCGAGCTTGCAGCTCACAAGACTGCCATTCCCATTAGCCCCCTTGGGGCGGGGATGGCAGACCAGAGAGGTCTAGCTTGTGGCTAGGCCTGGGGACTAGTTGGTCCCAAAGATGAGGGGGTACTTGTGCCTCCTCATGGGAGACTTAGGTCTCAGACACTCCCTAGACAGGGAACCAAGGCCGGGCCACCACTTGGAAAAGGCCCGGGCCGGGAGAATACCGGCGAATCTTTAATAATAATAATCCTCACGTTTTCCATATCGAAGTAATTGAAATTTCTAATCATCGGACTACACATTGTTTTCTGCAACCCATTTAAAGATTTGGTTGATGTCCACCTAGAGTCTTGCAGTGTCTTCAGTGGAGGACACCGTCATGCAAATTCGGGTGTCATCTGCAAAGGAAGACACGGTACTGTGGCTGATGCCCCTGTCAGTCAGATATGAGGATGAGGAACAGGATGGGAGCGAGTACTGTGCCTTGTGGAACTGAGCCTTTCACAGCAGCCACCTCAGACTTTACCCTGTTTACTAGTATTCGTTGTGCTCTATTTGTTAGGAAATTATAGATCCATCTACCAACTTTTCCTGTTATTCCTTTATCAGACATTTTGTGCGCAATTACAACATTGCAAAAGCCTTGACAGTGTGACAAAGTTTGTGTATACTACATCTGCATTTGTTTGTCTTCTAGAGCATCCAGGACCTTGTCATGGCGGTCCAGTAGCTGGGACAGGCAGGAGCGACCTGCTCTATTTTCATGTTGCCCTGGTTGTGTAATTGATGGGTATCTAGATGAGTGGCGATCTTGCTTCTTAGAACCCTTTCAAAGATTTTTATGATATTGGATGTTAATGTTATCGGTCTGTAGTTTTTTTGCAATTGCTTTACTGCCCCATTTGTGGAGCGAGGCTGTCTGATGTTTTCAGAAGCTGTGGGACGCTCCCCGTCTCCATGTTCCCTCTCCATAGGATGTTAAAAGCTAATGATAGGGGTTCCTTCTAGTTCTTGATGAACACGGAGTTCCATGAGTCTGGGGCAGAGTGCATGGGCATGTCATCGCCTTTTCGGAGTTATTTGGCTTCAGGATAATATCAGATGGGTTTGAGTCTACCGAATTCTGTCTCGCTCATAAAAAATTCATTTAGGTCTCTGACTCTCAGTCTGGTTCGTGGCTCTCTAAAAACCGAGTCATATTGGGACTTGAGTAGCTCACTCATTTCCTTGCTGTCATTTGTGTTTGACTCAGCTCATCAAAGTAGGGCCCAGTACTGGATGTTGTTCTCAATTTTGATTTGGCATAAGAAAAGAAATATTTTGGGTTTCTTTCAATTTCATTTATAGCTTTTAGCTCTTCCCGTGTTTCTTGACTCCTGTAAGATTCCTTTACCTTAAGTTCGATGTTTGCTATTTCTCTGACCAGCGCCTCCCTTCGTATTACAAATATATTGGCCACTTTTAGACTATTCTTTGCCTTCTGTATAGGGAGCGCCTTTCTCTAGTTTATATCTTCTCTTCTTTTTCCATATAGGAAAATGCCTTGAGCATACCTCGTGTGCCACAGAGTTAATTTGTTCTAGACACAGATTTAGATCCTTGTTGCTTAGGATATCTTACGAGTTTACATCATTTACGACCTGGTTTACTTGGTCCCACCTTATGTTTTTGTTATTAATGTGAATTTGGTGAAGGTTCCCTCGTGACTGATCACATTTTGTTGGGTTGGGGCCCCGCGCATACATGTAAGCAGTAACAGTTTGGTTGATCAATCCTTGATCCACTGGGAGCCATGAACAAGGACCGGGTCACAGAGGCGTTGACCCCCGGAACACCCTGCAGGTAGACTCTAGGTATAAACCTTCATAATGGATACGACAAGTTAGTTAAGAAAGACACGTAAGCAAATACTAGGACATATTATAACACCTTTCGGTCCTGGGACCTTGATCACAGAAGTAATCACAGTGGTGATCAAGGTCCCTGGACCGAAACGTATTCTAACATGTCCTAGTGTTTGCTTACGTGCCTTTCTAAACTAGACTCCAGTTAGCAGGAGAGACTTAAGCCTTCGGTCAAGGAGAAGGATTCAACTGATTTTTTTAATAGTAGCCCAATTTCAATTATTTTTTATAACTGTAAGGTATGAAGTTGACAAAACGTGTATATTAGAAGTTTCATGAAGTTTGCCCAAAAGTAAGAAGATAAATAAAATAATGATTTTTGATACAGCATCACCCTGATAATTTTTTTTGCCAAATTGTTAATGTTTAAGATGTAGCTGATTTTACATGAACAATTGTTAGTAAAAGATGAACTGTTCATCTGTTATATATATACAAAAAAATTAACTTTTTTTCTTTTTTTGAAGACTATTACAAATTCCTTCTAAAGGGCCGTAAAACAATGATTCATGAATAAAAATTTTAAGTCATAAAAATCTATTCATAAATAACGAAGAAAATTTTTACCAATAAGAGAACATCAAGACCTTTTTTTAAAGTAATCCTTACTTTCACAAGTATAAAACGCCAATTTTCCCATAATTTTACTCGTCTCTGCATCCCTTCCTCACTGGTGGCATGATGTAGGATGGAAACAACGCATTAGCCAATGTAATTAGGAGGTTATGAGGAGCGACGAGCGACACACAACACTGGGATCATATGTGTAACTGAGAGCAGAAGTGTCTTTCTTCCTCCAGCAACTTGAGACGACACCGTCTAGTTTATTTTTTAAACAATGACACAAAACTTCAAATATTCGTAAAAAATACAAATGTATGGAAAATAACGTGTTTGGTGTCAGTGCGTCATTTTTGATGATGTCATCGATATACTGATAAAATAGTTGTAAAATGTACTTAGAAAAATGTACGAACAAACGGATTACACGCAAATGTTGCCAGACTCGTGCACTATTTTTCTGTAAGATTTAATAACTGTTTTTTTCCCTTATTACAACAGCTCGCAATCCTTTGCTGGGTAAACGGCGCTTTACCTTAATGTATTACTTTTTTTAACCTTCAAACCAGAAAAAAATGGACCAAAATTTAAGAGATTTTTTGTTGCTTAATTAATATTTGCACGATTTTTCTAAGCTAAGTTTATGTAAATTCTCAAATTCATCGAAATGCAATTTTGTGTCAAAAATTCGAGTAGATTTTGCTTTGGTGTTTTGTAGATAGTTCAGCCATTAATAATGATTTTTTATATGGCGTAAAAATGATTATTATGCAACAGTTTGAGACAAAAATGGTTGGTTAAAAGAGACGTTACAGTAATCTGAAGATATAAAAACTTTCTATATGTGATTATCTTGGAAGTTATTGTACAATCTGTATTCCTAGTTAGGTTATTTATTGAAGAATCATAAAAAATAAAGAGGAGGAGGACTGCAGACAGCTTACTGGTCCATGGTATACAACGTTTTGGCTTCAACATCACTTGGGAGTTTGTCCACTCATCCCACAACTCTTATTACCAAACCAGTGCTTTCCTATATTCGTATTGCTGCGAGTCCTGTCTTGGTTAGATACTTTTAACACGTTTTTTTACATCCCCTTTCTTTATTCTTGTTATCCATTTATGCGCATCAATCATATCCCCCCTATTTCTCCACCCTTCTAGAAGGTGCAGATTCAGAGCCCTCAGTCTATCCTAGTAGGAAAGATTTTTGATACATCGTACGTTTTCCAGCGCATTTATATCCATTCCATAATACAGTGACCAGAACTGTGCAGCAATAATCTAAATCAGGCCTAACTATGACTCTCGTTATTTACGGTTCTTAATATAAAACCAAGAATTCACTGTATTGTGAATTCTTACACACAATACAGTGAATTCCAAGAATTCACTGTATTGTGAACACTTACACACTGTTGTTTGGGTTTTAGATTTCTCCTAACCACAACTCCTAAATCTTTTTTCCAGTCAGTGACATTGAGTTCTAAATTCTTTAGTTTATAAGTGTCATGGTTATTCTCCTTTACAGTGCATAGAACTTTGCATTTGTCTATATTAAACTGCATCTGCCACTTCACCGACCACTGCATCAATCTATTCAGATCTTCCTGCAGTGCTCTAGTGTCGTTGTCAGAATTGATTCAACAGCCAATTTTGGTGCTTCTGTTGCTATCCATTCTTTCATCTTTGTCGCTTATGTAAATTGTGAACAACAAAAGTGTCAACACGGACCCCCGTGGAACACCGCTTGTGATGCGTCCCCACTTTGATTTCTCTCTGTTTATGCAAACT